CCGGCGGCCCCCCCATCTCTGCGCCGGGAGTGTCGGATGAACGGATGATCCGACACTCTCGGCGCAGAGATGGGGGGCCCGCTGGCCGCTGGGTACCGATCTGGCACTGGGACTGTGCTGGGCCCCCTAGAGGCCCGAGGCCCTGGTGCGTCCGCACCGCCTGCACCGGCGGTAGTTCCGCCACTGATCCTAACCACCATGTAGAACCAAAGGAAAGAGAGGTTGTAGTTGGTTGGGGGTGTGCAGTGCTGGCATTTGTTGCTTTATACACTTTTATTCACTATTATACTGGATTTGCTGTGAATTTCAATAAAGTCTGAAGTATTGGAATTCTCTGGATAGTGCGGTCTGTTCGTATACTACTACAATCCTAACCACCATGCCATGTAATATTCAATCTGACGCCAGTAAGGACTTACCTTCCGTGCTGTTGTCCAACATAACTGTATGGCAAAGTGCTATCCCCCTAAAGAATTCTCGGAGCAAAGGGTCTTGATTTTGATGCAATTCTTCCACCAGGGTTTGATCATAGAATTTAAAGGCTTCGTTTGCATACATATTCCAAGTAAATGACACCTTCTGTAAAAATAGAAATATAACTATATAGAAATATAGCTCCGTTGATGTATAATTGCACTGCCTTTGGGAAACTATCTTGGAAACGCTCCGTTCTCCTTAGAGTCTATAACCCTCGATCTACATTCTCCTGACGAATTATCCAAGCCTTTTCAATGCTTTTCTGTATGTCCTTGTTATTTTTTTTAAAAAATGTTGCGTTATCTTGAAATAAATAAAGACTGCAAATACTTCACTTGCAGTAAAATGGAATAAGTGTATTGTCACTGGCCTTGGGCTAGTATATGGCTTTAGAGTCAGACAAATTCAGCTTATATCTGATGCTTCTCACACATATATTTTGTTTTTTAACATATTACAATTAATATTACAATTAATTAATGCAATTAATATTACAGAATTTTGGTTTATTGATTGCAGCATAATTTTACAGCTAAACTGTCTGTCCCTGATCTGAACTGGGTGGAGGCAGAGGAGGCATCAGGTGTCACATAGACTCCTTATATCTCCATAAGGAGTACCTATTACTGCCCCAGTAATATCACATATGGTGCCTTAGTAGCACTCTCATTACAGCAGTAATGTGATAAAGCTAAACAATGTTTAAAACATTTCAATATATTAAAATCGTTTCTTAAAACAATTCCTACCCAAATGTATGAAAATTCACAGTCAGAACGCATGTACATATATAAATGTGGTTCATGCTCTAGCTATCCCCTGGCACACCAGCCGATGAAGAATAATTTTAGGGACATCATTTTAGTTTAATCCAGAAAAGATTACCAGAAAATGTTTTTACTCTACGATAGATATTAAACAAACTAAAACAATTTTTTTTTACATCTGTGTCCATTTCTTTACTTGTGGAATAGTATCAATTATATAAATTATGTAAATTATTAAACAAACTAAAACAAATATTTTCACAGTTCTTATTATAAAAATATATATTCAGGGTATTTAATTTAGGCTATATATATATTGCACTATGTATGGTAAAAATGTAGTGAAAGTCATTTTGGCATTCAAATCAGTTAAAAAGGTATCATTGAGAAAACCACTAAATACCAAAAATTCTAAATTCTGTCTGGTCACAAATGTTTTGACTACCCCTAGACACAAAAAAGTTAAAGGAAATATGCGCTTAAAAAAAAAAAAAAAGATAAACCCTTGTATCTTCTTTTACCAGCTCCACAGAATTAATTAGCATGGGACATGTGGCCCAAACTGGAGATGAGGAAGATAGAGTCTGGCTCAGAGCAAAAATAGCCAGTCTGATCAGACCTCACCTTTGAGAGCTAGCTAGTAAACATGGTGCCAGTGTTAACAGTACCTCAAGTTTTTCTTCTTTTCCTGATGTTGTTCCTGAAAAAAGAGGTAAGTGTAAGTTATTGTTTTCTGTGTGGTACAACCATTTTGTGTTTTTTTTTATTTTTAGTTCAATCTAATTTTATTAAATGTTTCAAATCCAAAATGTATCATGTTGTTTAGTAAATATCAGGTGAATTGCCTATGAGACTTTAAAAGAAGTTGAGTGTATGTTATAAAAACAAATTAGCACTTTGTAGCTACCCTAGAGACTTCTACTATGTTACCTATTGTGTAGGTATGCAGCAGTATCACTATGCAAAACTGATATCTTCACTTATTGTTTGGCAGCAATTTGTTTACTATTTTTGTTTTATGTTTTTGTTTATTCAGCCATATGGATGAACTAAAATAAATCTACTAGTGTATGATTAGCTTAAAAAGATTCAGGAGATAGAGTCTAACTGTTCTTGTAAGTGCCACATGGTCTTCACAAGCAAGTGTTTGTACAGTGACTGCCTCTCAGATTCCTGGAATAACATTACTTCGCTGCCATAAAGTATTGATTTATCTTCAGGATATAGTATGAAACACTGTATTGCACCATCAGATGCTAGCTAGACAGAGGAAAGTGAACTGCTATGACATTTGTTGGTGTTATAATGCCAATATTGTGATTCTGTTTGCATTAACCATTTACTTTATTTTCAATATGCAGCTGCTGAATAAAGTTACATATTTACCATTGTCTGTATCACTGTGTCAAGGGACTTTGCAGGTGTAACCAGATACAGGCAGGTAGAAGCTGTACCTGCATAAGCCTGAGCATTCAAAAATTGCTAGGAGATAAACCTGTAAGGAATCCCAGCATGATAAACAAACTGCCCATTTATAAAATGAAATGGTAGCGGATGGATGAGCAGATGAGTCTAAAGACTTCTGGCCTTGAGATCTGGTGCTTGAGTGGGATGTAGATTATGATTGTCTACAAGGTACTACTGTAGTAGATGAAGTATGGGGTTCCTCCACCCTATCCCAAGATCTCCTGTGTTAGAGCAGGCAGACATCCCAAACATTAGGGGTATCAGGAATAACAGTTTCAAAAGCAGAACCAAAGAGACACCTACCCTTTAAGGATGAGTAAATCAAATGTTACTTTAGCATCCTTGGCATGCCAGGAACAAAGCCAAAGCACACTATGCATCTGAACAGATATTACACACATATCAGACACAACCTTAGGTGTTTGCAAGAAACCTTTGCAACAGAAAAGCAGGGCACCAGACAGTGGTTTCAAAAGCTCCAGGGTATCCTTGATCCCCTGATCCTTACTGACATGGATTCACAAATCTGAGTCGCTGCCAGCAAGGAATGGACAGTTATACCAGATAGTTTAAACTGAGACCTATGAAGGGAATCCAACTGATAATCAGTGAAATTCCTAAAGGTTGTAACAGAACATTATGAACCCTGTTTAATGGTATGTTTGTTAAGCTAAATGACTGGTGTTCCTAGAGTGGGCAGAGACCACTCATCAGTAAATTTCCTTTTAGAGGGAAAAATCTCCTTCACATTATCAGGAGGAAGACATGTTTTCTTTCCAGTGCACATAGGGGAAGGTTTTATATACCAAGTGTACAGGGAAAGTCTTTGAGGCAAAAGCTCAAAAAGACCATATGCCTGGAATAGCAGGCAGATCCTCCAATTGCAGGGTAGAATGCACTGCATCAGAGTACCAAAGAGTCCTTGTAAGGCTGAGTCATATGGAACTTGTTGAAATAAATGCTCTTCAAAAGAAGGCTCTGAATACTATATTAGAGGTTGTAATAGGGCCATCAGTCACACAAAGAGGTGGAAGTCTAGTAGGGACAGAATTGGGTTCTGTTGTAGAAGGCTCCAGTGCCAGTGTATTTAGAACCCCTGCATACAGACTGATAAGGGTCTTGTGGTCATATGGGACGTCTCAGGCTTGCACCGAGGAGCTGTATAAGACTCAAATGAGGATGACCCAATAAGGGTCCCAGGATAGATGGTGTAGATGTTGTTTCCTTCTGGTAAAGCAAGAAATTATCCCTAACAACAATAAAGGAGTATGGGACGCAGAAAATAATCTTAGGTGGCTGGAAGTGACCAAGTCACTATAGGCAGGCAGTGAAATGAGACCAGAGAAAGGTTCATTAATGAAGTGCATAAAAAGCAGCAGAAGTGAGAAGTTGCTTCCTCTAGGCTGTAAGGTGGGAAAAGGAGGAGAGTGTGCACATGACACTTCATCTATTGGATGACGTCTGCGCTTAGTTACCTCAGCCTTAACTGTTTCCTCTGTAAGATGGCTGTGGCAGAAATTATAAAATGGCCCCCCAATGGTACCAACTGTGTGCTTTTGCCTGGCTAGCCTTATCCATTATGTGATTCTTCACAGACTGGGTCACAGCAGAGGCAGTGCCACAGCTCTGGATATGGGGAGCACTTAAATGACACAGTCCAATCTTTGGCCTAGCAGAAGGCCCTCCAAAGCTGTTGCTGAGGATAAACAGATTATGATAGCCGCTCCAAAGCTTTGAAAAAAACTGAAGAAAAAACATCTACACAGTATCTTGCATTAAAATAAAATACAAAGAAAAGACAAAATTTGATTTTTTTTTTCTCAGCAGAGCCGAGTAGCACCATTATGGGAGGTGGGGTTATAGAGGGGCTGGGTATAGTATTTTTTGTTTGCCAGTGATATAGAAAACTGATAAACCAGTGGCTAGGGAAAATTTTGGGACTGCACAGTTTCGGGATCCCAATTTGGCAAACGCATTGCAAAATGTAAAGGTGATAAACTGTAAAGGGTGTCATTATTTTTGGCCATGACTGCGTGTATTAATATATATTTTAGCCACTTGATAGCCTACTGTGTAGAACAGGGGTCTCAAACCTCCGGCCCTCCAGCTGTGGTGAAACTACAAATCCCATGATGCATCTCTCTTCTGGAGTCATGTCTGTGGTTGTGAGAACATTGCAATGCCTCATGGGATTTGCCATGTATCAAAATGCAGCTGCTCCTATGTAAAATGACTAGTAAGAATATAAAAATATATCACATAGAAAATTAAATAATGTTTGCAAGACAATATTGCCAGAAGAAACTTTGTTCGTCCCCCAACAAAAAAACAGATGAATGCATTACTTTCTTTTTCCTAAATTATGACAAAGTTATAAGCGAAAAAAACAGGCCCAATGCAGAATTAAAAAAATGCTCTAGTCCGTAAAGGTTATAAAAGTACAAGAGTTAAAGTAGCTAAAGTTGCTTTTTTTAATGGCTTAATGCAAAACATTTTTAATTAGAGAAATTACCATAGATCTTCTGCCCAATGCAGCATTTCTTGAAAGTCATAATGTTTTGTGTGAGGGTGCCTGTTTTATCTGTGAATATGTAATCTATCTGCCCCAACAGGTCAGAAAGGCTGGAGGCTCTTGCCTGAGCTGGTACATCTGATTCTGAGTAGTACATCTCTAAATCCTGGCTGATAAATTTGTTGTGGACCGCATGCATTAGTTCCAACCTGTGAAAGTTATATAAACAGGATGTGTAATAAACAGTAAAATTAAAGTATACAGACACAATTTCTATACCATCTCTCCTCCACCAGCATTTACAGAATAAGTTACGATTACCAACAGCCCCCAAAATCTGGGTCCCTCTGTCCTTTGACGCACTGTACCGTACGCTGTATGTGCATTGTTTAAAAACCAATTCTTAGTCATTAACATATGGATGAATGGGGTTCACAGTGTGCAATCACAATTACAGCTGAAGCTTTTGATGACTATATATATATATATATATATATACATACATATACATATATACATACACACTGTATATCTAAAGCAAACCTGTCAAGTATGTGCTTACAATAGTAACAATACTACTGAAGTACAGGCACATTGCTGCATATACTATATAGAGGTTCTTGACTGCTGTCTAATGTGCAGCTAAGCTCCACCTCTGCCATTTACCAGTACAATGCCAGAGCCTCAGAGGCCAGTACAAGCTTCTAAACTGTACTTTTAAATGGTGGGCTTCGCTGCAAGTCTAGCAGAAGCCAAGGACTTCTGTATAGTGTGATTCTGAGAGGGACTTAGACATACAGAATTCAGTTAGAGGAAAAACAAAGGTACTTCCTGGCACCATAGCACAGTGCCTGCACTTTTCCAGTACAGTTATTTTAAACTCTTTGTTCTTCCTCTAAGACAGTGGTTCTCAACTCATGGGTCGCGACCCAAAAGTGGGTCGCGACACCTTCTGCAGTGGGTCGCGGCGTCCTTCCTGCAAAGAGCGGCCCATGTTCAGGAGGGAGACATAGAGGGGTGTCCCTTTTTAAAGCTGTTGCCTTTCTTCTCTCTTTCACTAGCACACTCATAATAAAAATAAGTTGTACAATTACCTTTGGCTTCTAATATGCTTCTAATATGCAATCTTACACAGAATTGTGCTAAATTAATAATTGACTGTAAATATTACTCACGAGATGTACAGAAAGAAAGGTACAAGCGTGCTCAAAATAGCAAAGTATGCCCAAAAAAAGAGAAAGCCGATGGCAGAAAAGGACAGCCCAGAAAGTTCAGGGATGTAGTTGTATTTCTTCATATACCAATGATTCCAGACTCCAGCTCCAATAGCCATTGCCAGTGACAAAACAATTAACAACACAGATATCTGCAAAGAACAGAACAGACCTGTTAGATCTGCAAATTAATTTGTTAGGCAGTATTTTTAAATACAGTCTTACTTACAAACAGAACACATTTTCCAATTATGCTGTCTATCTTTGTCCTCTTCATTTTCACTTTACCAGAGTTTTTCATAATTTTTGTGTCAACCCCTGAAACGTAAAACAAAACAATGAAATAGTCTAATATTTCTTGTTAATAAACCACATGTATTTCAGACATGGGACCTTTCCAAATCTTAGTGCATCATGGATTATATATGAAAGCATATTTAAACTACAATAGCAAAAACTAAAAAAAAACATTTAAAGTGACCTGGTCACTGACCACAGGGTCACTTAGAGCCATGTCAGATGGGTGATTTTGAAGCAATGATTAATTGTGATACTAGTGATTTAATAACTAGAGTCCCTCTATTTGTCGTTGTTACAAGTTAAACTAGTGCTACAATATTGTGTTGATGAGATCAGCTAAAAAACATTATTTTTCAGCAATTTGAAGCTAAGCCATGCAGGTAAATGTAGACCGATTGTCATTGGCGATCTGGTTGCTGACTTGACTTGTCACTGCCCAAACTCAATTGCCGATTGACTGAGCTACAAAATGCTTTAAAATGTAGTAAAATGTTGGCGTTAGCAGTGTCATAGAAAATAACTAATTTCCTTAGTGAGAATTCTCTCACTAAGTGGATCACTGGGAATAAATTGTCCATCTTTAGTGGCCCTTACAAAAATGACCATCCTGTAAAAGAAGGTGCACTATATTTGCCTTTCCAATGGCTTGAAGCAGCACTGCTTAGGTACTCCCCAGTTGCTGCAGCTATTTGACCGATCGCATGGTTTGAAAACCTGCTCTCTCTGCTGCATAAAATGGGCCTCGTGCCAGCTCATACATCCTGTAGTGATGTACAAGCATGTGGGATGCACTGTGTGTGTGGCAGCATTTCAAGACATGGGTTGTCAGTGAGATAAGTACACTGCTAATTCTTTTACAGGGCTGGTCTTTTTTTGTCAAGTAATCCTGTGGTGATAGCGTCACTTTACTAAAGGTATGTTTTTAGAACAGAAGACTTAATTTGAAACATATGCATCAGAAAGATTTACCCACAGTGGTGGGTAATATTTGGTAAATGTTTTTTCACTGCTTAATAAATATACCCCTGTACACCAATTGTTATTAAAATGGAAATATATTTAATGTGCCACAATATAAAATTCTGAATTTTGATAACAGTATGCAGTTAATGGATGTAATGATAGATATTTAGTATATGAATCCCTTTTTGTATTTTATATGACTTTATTTGTATGCCCATGTTTCAGCACAGCCTGCATGCAGTCTCTCTTTCTGACACACGCCACACACTGCTCATCCCAGAGCAAATGTATGCCTAGACAGACCTACCGTGTGAATGAGTAAGGGGTAGTTGTTACCTCTACTCATTCACCAAATAAACAGTATAATAGTAAATGAACACACAACACTGTGAAAAAAAAACACACAACACCATGAAAAAAAAAAACATAACACAGGTTTTTGACAATTCCTTGAGAGAGAAAGTTCTCTCTCTTAGGTCCGCTCCTCTGTGATTAACATCAGACATTGGGCGGGTGCAATAGCCAGCCTGTTATTGGCTATTTCAATTTGAAATTGCCAATAGCAGGCTTTGTTTATTTCTCGCCCGATGGAAACATTTTGTTGGGCGGCGAGCAGCCAGTATTTTTTTTTTGTCCGGTCTGCAAGACAATGTACATTGCTGAATGATGTTATTGACATTTTTTTAATAATAATAAAGCAATTGTCAAAAACCTATGTTGTGTTTTTTTTTTTTTTAATAAAAAAAACTTTCATGGTGTTGTGTGTTTTTTTAAACTATTTTTACTATTTTATTGTTTATTTAGTGAATGAATAGGGATTACAACTCCCCCTTACTCATTCACAAGGGGGGGGGGGGATCTGGGTGCCCCCTTTATGAAAGCCCCCTATAAGCACCCCTGCTTGCAGAGCCCCACAACCACCAGGCCAGGGTTGTGGGGAAGAGGCCCTTGTCCTCATCGGCATGGGGACAAGGTGCTTTTCCAGGGGGTCCCCCCTGGCAAAGCACCCTCCCCCCTATGTCGAGGGCATGCCTGATATGGTGTGTGGGGTGGGTGGCGGACGCTTGTTTCCCCCCCCCTCCCCCCACTTTCCTGCTCTGCCGGGCTGCTGCTCGGATTAGGGGTCTGGTAAGGGATTTTAGGGGGAACCCAACACCTTTTATTGTTTTTTTTGTCATGGGGTCTCCAACCTAAAATTCCTACCAGACCTGAAGGGTTTGGTATCAATTGCTGGAGAAAACCGCATGCTGTTTTTTTAATTGTTTCTGTGGGCTGTGAAAAGTTAAAAAGAAAAACAGTAAACATCTAATGTTACTTTTCTGCAACATAATTATTGTTTTTAACTCATTCGAAATTAAGGAAATTCGGGATTTATCCAAATCCGAATGTCAAAACGTATTGCCTTTCATTCAATTGAATGCCGAAAAACAAAATAAGAAAACATGCGAAACGTCTATTAACCACTTTGACTATTTTTTTTACCAATTAACTGTTTATGAACCAATATCTGTGTTTTTGCACCAGGGTACATTCTTGTTTAGGTATGCTTTAATTGCATCAGAATTAAATCTGTTTATGATTTGCATTCATGCATTGATATTAGGTGTATTCTGTAAGTATAATATATTTAGTGTATATACATTGGTATCAGAACTGCTCTGGTACTATTCTTTGAACTGTAGTTGTTCAGGCTTTGGTATAAGAGTAGCCATGCAGTAAATAACAGTGAAGGTTTTACGGACCTGCATAAATGACAAGCCCATAACAGTGTGCAGTGTTGCGGATCCTGCAGTCTCTCATAAGAAGGTTTTCAGTATTCAGAGGATACTTTTTTCCTTTCCAGTCCAGGACTCCCACAAAGCTGTTTATGCTGGCATTTGGAGCTTCACATATGATCATACCTTAGATATTTAGACAGATAAAGAAGTAAAAAGAAATCAATCTCAATACAGTGCATCAAAGGACAACCATGCAATTTCTAAATACAGTGTAAAGTATGGCAAATGGGGCAAAATAGGTCGAGCAACAGAAACTATATATAAATGATCATGAAGAAATACATCTATAACTGTACAGAAAATGACAAAAACCTAATGCTACTTATCTCACACATTTATTATGAGAATATTTTCCACACAACTTTGATTTAATGTCTCTAGAAGCATAGGATCTAGAATGAGTTAAGATCCAATAATCTTTGATCTTCGGTCATACAAATAGTGAGGATTGTGACAAGTACAGCTGTGTGAAGAAAAACAAAATGAAGACTTTGGAGTGGCCTAGTCAAAGTCCTGACCTGAATCCTATTGAGATGCTGTGTCATGACCTTAAAAAGGCGGTTCATGCTCGAAAACCTTCCAATGTGGCTAAATTACAACAATTCTGCAAAGATGAGTGGACCAAAATTCCTGCACAGCGCTGTAACAGACTCATTGCAAGTTATCACAAACGCTTGATTGCAGTTCTTGCTGCTAAGGGTGGCCAAACCAGTTATTAGGTTTAGGGGGCAAATACTTTTTCACAGAGGGCCATGTGGGTTTGGATTTTGTTTTCCCTTAATAATAAAAACCTTCCTTTAAAAACTGCATGTTGTGTTTATGTTGTGTGTACTTATCTTTGACTAATATTTAAATCTGTTTGATGATCTGAAACATTAAAGTGTGACAAACGTGCAAAACAATGAAAAATCAGGAAGGGGGCCAACACTTTTTCACACAACTGTATGTCTGTATGCAGTAATCCTCCACCATTTAGAAATTGCTTAGGCAAGTCCATAGTTTAGTCTCAGAAAAATTCCCATCATTGCTGTTCTCTGCTACCAGATTAATTTTAGAATTTTATCAGTTGTTTCTTATGTTTTAATTAGATTAATTAGGCTGCCATGCTGCCTTGTTCCTCCCACCTAATTCCTCCTGTATCTGTTCAGTTTATAAATTCCTGCTGCCAGTGTATTGTAGCCACCTTGCTCTAAGTGGGGTGACTACTTAAATTTAGTTTGCTGAGATTGCATTCAGTCTGGCTATAGTCTATAGTCTGTAAAGTCTGTACTCATTTGGTCTTCCCTAAAGATTCTGTTATTGATTACATCTGCCTGCTACAGAGATCTCACAATGTCTGCCAGCTATGGTGCTTTAACACAGTGTCATCATACTTCTTGTTCAAAGACCCTCTGCACCAGAGGGTCTCAAAGTATCGGCCTGCGGACCAATTTCGGCCTGTGAACTGGTACAATGCGGCCCACAGCCAGCTGACAATTCAGGCATGCAGTCACAGACTGCGTACCTGACTTGCGGGAACAGCTATATGGTCTGGATTTCATAGTCTGGAACTCAGTAGTTCCTTTCGGCCAGAGCTCTGATAGCCCTCACTGAATGCCGGCCAAAATGAAGGATTAGTAATGTGTGTAATGTGTAAAATTAGTTTCTGTGGGCTTCTGTGTGTGCGTGTGCATATTTCTGCGTGTGAGTGAATGTGTGACTCAGTTGGTCCTCTATGATTTAAATTAAAACCTGTGGGAAAAAAACCACACAAACATATACTGACACTGCAAACATACTGATAAGATACACACAGAAACATTAACACACATACCAACATTACTCACAGAAATTCTGGCAATACACACAGAAATCCTGGCAATACACACACACACACACAAAACATCATAAACACAGATACTGACATTATAAAACACACGCAGATATTAACACTGCTACTGTATATAGTTACAATTTGTTTTGAAGTATGATATTTTTTTTACATTTGGCAAGCAGCCCCCATGGGAGAAGAAAATTTGTCAAGTGAATTGAGTTTGAGACCCCTGCTCTACACTGTGAAGCTGGTGATATGGCGAGTCTGGAGTTCTGTATTCCTCCGATGTCTGCAGCCCTAACCCTCTCTCCCTGTTTGCTATTGGTTCTAATAAAGCGTCCTAAAAACTCTAAAAGTGACTGGCGCACATTCTTGCTAAGGATCCATTCCTGAAGTGAAATGTCAGCCCCTCCTGCCCCCAGCATCCAGGAGGGTGCTACAGTTCATACCCCCTTTCCTTTTGACTTGATAAAGAGGTTTTTTTCCTCTAAATGTGTTGCCACCTTTCCCATCTACCCCCTCCAGCCACACATCCTATTGCCTTTCTACCAGTGCTGCAGGAACCGCTGTGCTACTGACAATTCTCCCAATACCAGCCTGGAGGCATTCAAAGGAGATGTGGCCCCTCTGACTCTTACCATTTGCAAGCGCCAGCAACTGCCTGCCTGTGAGAAGGACTACTGTGTAGGTTAACCGATTTTCAGGGACATTGGGTGAATTACAACATGTACTTCCACTGACAGCCACATTAGCGGATTATTTGCCTTGAGTGCCACAATGTTAACTTTCTGTTTTAATATAGTAGTTTTATTTTTATTTACGACCAAGTCTCCCTAGTCGTCTTTTATATTTTTTCCCTAGCATCAACCTGACCGCCTTCTTGTTCCATACATTGGCTGTTGGAGTGCGTTCAGAGATGTCATACTTTTGATCTGTGCTTCCGTGAAGGTAAGGATTTTTCTTCGGGGTCCACTATACGATCGATCTAGGTGCTTCACCACTTAATTTTTTTTAGTGTATTTGCTATCTGTAATTTGGGCATTGCCATCGCCACATTTAGTGTGCTAGGGCGCTTTGCCCTTTTTTTTTCTTTTATGTTCATTAATGAATGTTAGCGGTTCTCCTACTGCTCTCCAACCTGGCTTTTACCATGAAAGTCCGAGGCACCCAGGAGGGACAGGTATGCCCAGGACACATGGGTGGGGGTGGCCTTCATTCACATGCAGAAGACAAAACCACTTCCACTACATAGCCGGCAGCCAGGAGTAAAAATATAAACACACTCCTGGCTTCTATAACCACCAGAAGTACATTTACAAGCTGGCACTGCCATCAGGTTAATAAGTAATTAAGTAAAAAACATAATAGTAACGTTGGGAGTAATGAATGGGTTAAAAGTTACTTATAGTGATTTTGTAAGTACCTTCTTTATTTATTGCATTCTGGATTAAAAATACAGCTTTTACTTCTTTAAAAAAAAAAAAAAAAGTTAATACTAAGTCACTATGTATTGCATATAAATATCAGTATTTTACCATTTGGTTTTATTTCTGATACAAACTGATTTTTGTATTTCATGTTATCTATAGAATGAGACTGCATCAGTTGATTGATTGGTTTACTTGTTACCTAGAGTTTCTATTTAAAGCAGTCTTAGTTTGTTGGTGTATAGCTATCTTTATGCTGAACTGATTACTCACCATCAAATTCTGACAATGCTTGTTCAGTCTGCAGTGCATAGTGTGCAACCACTGGGGCTTGACGGAATTTGAGATTGGTCTCTCTATAATCAACACAATATTTGCAATGTAAATGTATGAATAATACCAAGATGCTAATATACTGTACATTATGAATTATAAATAAAACATCACTTTTTTTATATGTTACAGTAACTGATTTGTTTACTGTTGCCTTAAATTGTTGTTTCTATGTTTACCACCCTCTACACGCCCCCCCCCCTTGCCATTTGTACTATTAATAGATTAAGTCCGCGAGGGAATAAAACCAAATGTGATCTTTAGGAAATAGTGTTGTGGTAAAGTTACTTCGGTATAGCAAAGGCTACGGGACAGTACCATATCTTGGGAAAGGGGGCACAGATTCTAGAGACTGTCACTGAGAGGTTACTTCACACAATCTGTAGACTAGTTGCTGAGGGGTAACTACACATAGTCTGGAGACCAGTCACTGAGGGATTGATAAAAACTAATGCATGAACACATTGGAGGGGATTGTGTGTGCTGGAGTGTAAAGCTCAGTAGTGACATAGATAATAAAAAGTGAGCTGTGTTCCAGAGTGCAGATCTCAGTGGTAAAATGTGTACAGGAGGATGAAATGTGTGATAGAATGAAGATCTTAGTGGCAACATGGATATTAAAAAATGAGCTGTGTGCTGAAGTGCAGATCTTAGTGGTCACATGGGTGGTAGAGGGTGAAATGTGTGCTAGAATGTAGACCTTAGTGGTGAATGGATACTGAAAAGTGAGCTGTGTACTGGAGTGCAGATCTCAGTGGTGATGTGGACAGTGGAAAGTGAGCTGTGTGCTGAAGTGCAGATCTCAGTGGTGATGTGCGTAGTGGAGGGTGAAATCAGTGGCGGAACTACCGCCGGTGCAGCTGGACCGGGGCCTCAGCCTGGGGGGCCCAGCACAGTCCCTGTGCATAGATGGTTTGGGCAGCCATGGGGACTCGGACAGCAGTGATTGTTATATAAAGTATTGTTGGGATGTGTAGTTCTCTATAGCCTCTGCCATTCTGCATTGCTGTAAATATTAGGGATGCACCGATATATCGGCCGCCAAAACATATCGGACGAAAAGGGCACTTTTGGCTAAATGCCGAAAGTGCCATTTTCCTGCCGATACATCGGCGCATCCCTGCTTTCTTTCCTCCCCGCTGGGCACTGCTCTGTGTCCCAGCGGGGTGGAGAGAAAGTGTGACAGCCGGCCGAGCATTGCGGGAGGAGAGCACTGTATTTGTGGGGGGGTGGCCCAAAAAATCTTGTACCAGGGCCCTTTGTTCCTTAGGTCCGCCACTGGGTGAAATGTGTGCTGGAGTGTTATTGGTGACATCGATATTGAAAAGTGAGCTGTGTGCTAGAGTGCAGATCTCAGTGGTGCAATTATGTGTAAAATCCACGCTTTTGTTGTTTCCTTTCAATATAATGTGTCAGCAGCAGTGAAAACAAGTGAATCCTATAATCACTCTCTGAAATCTCAAAATAATAAAGTCACTCTGCTAAAAAATCGAATAAGTTTTAGATTTATTAGCGCAGTGACTTTACTATTTTCAGATCTCAGTAATGATGGAACAGTGGACAGTGGAAAGTGAACTGTGTGCTCAAGTGCAGATCTCAGTGGTGACATGGATCTGGAGGGTGAAATGTGTGCTGGAATGTAGATCTTATTGGTGACATGGATATTGCAAAGTCAACTGTTTACTGGAGTGCAGATCTCAGTGGTGATGTGGACAGTGGAAAGTGACCTGTGTGCTGGAGTGCAGATATCAGTGCTGACATGGATAATATAGGGTGATATGTGTGCTGGAATGTAGATCATATTGGTGATATGGATATAAAAAAGTGAGCTGAGTGCTGGAGTGCAGATCTTAGTGTAGACTGGGGCCCATATACTGTACTAGGGAAATAAACTGCGTTAGTGGCGGTGGTTGATATCTCAGTGAAACAAGAACCTGGAATTCTTTTAAATACTTCAAACCATATATAGGAAGGATATAGGATATCATATATGGGAATGTGGTATGTAATGGACTTTTTATTAAATCTGTTTCCTATAAACTGCTAGCTAGATTAAAAAAAAAAAATACAGGTTAATGTTCATACCTGCAGCAATGTGTGTGTGCTAAGTGGAAAGTGTAACCATTATAATCACATTATTATGACAGTAAAATAATCCTGTCATGAGAAAATATGTAGGCTGTCATTAATAACCTCTCTGTAAATGCTAGATACTTGGCTGTCATGCTGTTGACTTTCTAAATCACTGGTGTAAAACAAATATAGAGATATACATGATGTGCCACATAATAGTCCCAGGTTTGTGACCCAGACATAGTGAGACAATACACAGCCAGACAAGCACTATTTTAAGAAATAAGCCTGAGACAGAGGCGTATCAACTATTAAATGCACCTATGGCATTCCAGCCAGCTTCTGGCCACCACTGATGTCACTGGTTTCAAGGAGCTCAGCGGGACACCTGCCAGATTGAAAAAAAGTCAGCTGTCTCAGTGGATGAGTGAACTTTCGCTAGCCCCAGAGTTTTTTTGGGGGCTCCGGCCCCCCCCCCCCCCCCCCCCTTCAAGTGGCGCTCAGGGCACGTGCCATAGGTGCCATGGACTGGATATGCCACTGGCCTGAGATGCCAGTTGCCATATTTCTTTCATGACAGATACAGTATACTTTAATGAAGACATGCAGGGAACAGGGTATTTATGCTGAAGGGAAAACTAGTGAGAAAGCTATGAAATGGAAAACAGGAGGATCACAGAAGCTGTCAAGTTTGATAACTTAAGGTTTGTGATGTATTAATATGAAAGCTTTCCATAAAACATACCCATCAATCCCAGCAGTCTCTACATAACACATACTATTTGGCTCAGTACTGTTCAACAATATCATATCTGCCTGTTAATGAAAAAGAACATGTATTATTCACAACTAATATACTTCAAAACAACGTTGAAAATGCCAGGTATATTAGACATCCCCAGTAACCTAATGATTTATTTAGTAAGATATTGAGGCTTTGTATTAAAAAGAAGTGGCTGACAAGAAGGTTTAGAACTTAAATAGGCACAGCTGGAGAGTCAGGAAAAGAGAGCCACACCACCATGCAGAACATATTGAAATCAGTTTAGGAGCTGAGTAGTAACTATCAGTCAAGGTAAAGTCAAAAATAATAGAGCAATAGATCAGGACCAATATTAGATGGGTCAGAGAATAAAGAGCTGGCATTAAATATATGGCCACAGGGTTAAAGCCCTATGAACAATTCAGTTTAAATACATTCCAGCTGCATCAAAACAATAGGTGTGTGAAATCTACAGTTTGTTGTCTTTAGAAAGTAGACACAGTCCCCTGCTAGCATGCTGTAGAAAAGGACCCTTGTCCTCTGTATTAAAGCAGTGGTCTCTCTGCAGAGGTCTGACACTCTGCTGGGTCAGACCTATAGCTCTACAATCAGCAAAGCCCATGCTGATTAGATAGCTCCAACCCGGACTTAAGGTCCTTCTCTGCATCATGTTTGTAGAAGATAGGATTTTCTACTCAGGCTGTGGTTGCTTTCTAAAGAAAATGAACTGTAAGACTTTGCACATATTTTTGATGCATCCATTTAGCCGATTTAAACTGATTTAGAAGATTTAGGGGGTTATTCACAAAGGAGTTATTCACAAAGGAGCCGAAGGATGATCCTTCAGGTCTCTTCAGCCGCCGGAGCTCTTCGGTTCGCTACAGCCTGTACAGCAGCCAAAGGCGGCCGAGCGGCTGAGCATATGCTTCGGGTCGACTGAGCCAAAGTGACACCCGAAGCGAGGTGAACGGACTGCCGAAGGGCTGGCAGATGGAATGACAGCAGCAGGGATGACAGATCAGCATTCCCAAATGACCTGGGGATGCTGAACTGTCATTAAGCAATAACAACTTCACTGATTTCACAGCAGCTCCACCTAGTTGTTATTCATTGGCGAGGACATGCTAGAAGACTCTAGCAGGTGCCCGTCAATAGGAAACAGTTGGGCGGAGCAAGCTGTCACTGCTAACTCCGCCCAATTGTTTATTTTATAATTTTTTTCTTTTTAAAAAATCCTTTATTTTTTTAATGTAATAGTTATTTACAGTTAAAAAATATTTTTTCACTATTTTCTATTCTGCTCGGTACCACAGAAGTACCGAGCAGAATAGCCGAGCCAAAATGCTGCTCAGCAGCAGCGAGTGAGCTGCCGGAGCTTCGGCTCAGCCGATCCAGATGTTGGATCGGCTGAGTCGAAGTACTACTGCACTTCGGCTCAGCTGAACATGCAGAGCATGTTCGGCTGACCAAAGTGCAGCCGAAGGCAGCCGACGTATGGCTGAAATCAGCCGTACTGAGCTGTAGTGAATAGTTGAACGTTGTTCGGCTCTGTTCACTTCGGCTCGGTTATTCACTTGGGTGCTTTCGGCAGCTTTGTGAATAACCCCCTTAGTTAGGCTTTAAGCTAAGAACTGAGTAATATATGTTCAGGAGCGACAATGAAGGCATAAGAAAGACAAGCCAGCAAAATGTGCAGGCACTAGAGTTCCCTAAACAGCAGATCACTCCGCTCACTCTTATGTACAGATACTGATGCATATGCATGTCGTGTAGTGCATATTCTTTGCAGTTCTATGCAGATTTGAAATCAGCAGATTACATGTGAACAAGAGGAAAACTCATATTTTATATTCACCCATGCCTTCCATACACTCATACACCAGGGCCAATCCCTTGCAGGCTATCTTCAGAGCATAATATTACGTCAGTGAAAATTTGTAACTAACACTTTTCTTGACAGACAGCCAAGAGTGCCCTGTATTCCAGGACCCCTAACATCTGTATTTAGGACATAATTTTTAGTTTTTCCTTATAGACTACATTGATGCATATGAGCACCAGCAATTTAAGGTTAGTGACAACTGTCAAGAGGACTACTTCAAGGTAGTGAAAGCTGCCCCTTGTTTTTTAGACAGGAAGCATACTGCATTGGACAGAGTGGAATTGATGTAATCACTGCAAATGCATAACTAAAAAACATAGACACCTTGTACAAAATCATAACAGGAACCACGTATACAGTAATATCATACAAAGGTCTTACAATAATTCAGATGCATGCAGAAAAATGAGAAAACATTTTTTCCCCCCAATTATCCTCATATAGGTTTAATCAACAGATAAAAGAAGAAAATAGGGAGAAATGTGAACTATGAAATGTTGCTTTGTTGTGTACAAAGTATATTGTGAGCACAAAACTTTTAGGAGACAGTAGTATTTAGGTTTGGGCCACTTGCCCTGCCTCCTGTGTATTTTATCTTGTTCTACTGCTTCCAGTGTGTCTCTATATTTCTATATGTTCGTTTTCTTATGCCTTCTTTTGCTATATTAAGGAATGCTTTTGCCATTGCCATTTACCAGTCATAAAAGCATTGTATTACCGCTGGGAATATCCTGACTATAGGAAGTGGTTTCAACAGGCACAAAACCACAGGGTGGCAGACTAGTATCTGTCCTTTCTTGTCTTGTCTGGTGTTCATCACCTCCTGCTCATGTATTGAGTACTGACCACTGGCTTATCTCACAAACCACTTTGTTAACATCTATACTGAATTTATACAATATGCATCTGTCCTGTGTTTTTTATGCTTCTGTACTGGAGTCACAAAATTTTCCTTCTTTGACCTGCAGCCCTACTGGGCGGGCATCATCCAGTATTGTGAAATAAGATCAGCATATAGTTTGACATACAATACTTTTTTATAGTAATTTTTGAGTCTAAAAAAAGACTGCTTTAAAAAATGTGTATGCCTGCTTTTGATCATGCATTAGTTATTGGACAGATATCTATGATATCTGCTCTGTAAGTTCTGTTTTTTTTCTAGTGGACTACAGGTACACTTGTGCCTTTAAGTTTCCCTGTGGTATACTGCAGTGCACCTCACAGCACCTGTCAAATATGGCAGCAATAAATAGGGGAGGACTGCATAATATATACTGGGAGGCATTACTAAATGCTAACAGAAATAAACCTCTATGTTTTACTTATTAGTTTTGGGAATTAAGTTATAGTGGGGCTTCTCTCTCTCTCTGTAGCAAAATTAAACATCTTGAGACTGGTTTTGGTTTAATGATAGTTGGCTACCTTTTGAACATCCTCAAAGGGTACAGCTAAAAAATAGTAGATCAGATCTATAGGTATTTGAGTATCTTAAACATTTTTATTTTTAGAAACTTCTTTGGAAAGTTCTAAAATACACTTACACCTGTGCCCAGACTACCAACATTAGATTGTATACATATTATTAACAAGCAGTAAAATAATTTCCCCGATCTCTGTAGCAGCTACCTATGCCAATAAGTAATTCAGTAATTCATTCTGAAGTAATGTAAGTAAGTAATAAGTAATTCATTCTGAAAAATACTCAAAGATCACAACAAGACTCTTAAGTTGGGTTTCAGTCAGTTTCTAACAGCTTAGAAACACCTGCTGTGTGTTTACATTAGAGGGCTTGTAAGCTGCCAAGATTCTGGTACAATGCAAAGTTATAGGAAAGAAACTAAAATTTCTGTGATTCTGCTGTAAATATGAAGACAAATTTCCCCACAAGGCCTATAGCTACAGAGGTAAGTGAGGGTGTGTTTTACATTGCTTTTACTGCTTGTTGAAAATATAATTCCGTAAATAATGTAGTGTGCATAGTCTGGGCACAGGTTCACTTTAATTAAACTATGCTAACAAAATCCCCTGGATTTAATTCAGTATCAACTCTAAGGTTTATAGTGCCAGAAGCATAACAATCTAGGTATGTGTTCTCTAGTTTGGATACAGTTGATTTACTAAAGGAGTAGAGGCTGTTAACTTGGTAAAATGTATGCTCACTTAGAAAAAAGTATATTAACTTTGCAAAGTGGTAAACACAGCTTCATCTTATTTACTAAGTTCAGTTAACAATCACTTTGCTAAGTGAACAAGAAGAAAAATTGGTTTAATTCATCTCTGGAAAAATAAGTACACTTACTGGTACAAAGTCATTTTTACGTAAGCACACAATGTCACCAACATGAATATCCTTCCACGTCACACTATGTAACCTAGAAAAGGAAAAAATGCCTTGTTTTTAAACCATACAATAGACCAGACTGATGCATGTTTTACAATATTTAAAGGATTTCCAAGTATAAACACATATTACAGGTTGAAATAAAAATTCAGTTCACTTAGATTTAGATAAATGAGTTAGTTAGTTTTACATAAGGTGTGGGAAGGGCTAGGCCTTCTGTAGGGTTTTTTTTCTTGATATCTCCATGGCATCATGGGTTGATTCTATCCCCTGCGTAAACCTCTAGTACATTAATTTACAAATATGAGTCCCACCCTATCAGGGCCATTTCTTTTTTATCCTCCTGTCTCCATGATCAAGTATCCCTACCAACCCCAGTAAATCTGGGGCACATAAGGATCTTTGCTGATGTGTCTTGGGACTCTAAATGTGGTCTTCAGAACATTGGCTGATCCCAGGGTGTTTAACCATTGTGACTGCAGGATGCTCATACCTTGGATTATGTAGTGTCATGTCTATCTTCTAGTGTGGGATCCAAGTTGCCTTGTGTTGCCCCAAACACCATTTTTGGCTGGATTATAAACTTCCCAAAAAGTCACCTAGAGCTCACTCAGGCTCTGAATTACCCGGGAGCACATTTTAATATTGTTAGTGCAGCCATTTCTCACCTGGAAGACAACAGATGGTGTAGGTAGTCTCTTGTCACACTTTTACTGTGCAGCAGTAAAATGGGATTGCCATTGCTAACCTCTCATTTGAGAATTTTAACTCCCTGGTTGTCATACAGATCATTTGTCTCAGTGCTTTCTAAATACCTGACTTGGAACAAGTATAATGTTTGGGAATTCTAACCCTTTTCTGATTATTTGCAGCATTCCAAGTTGTTGACTCAAACATATAAAAGCCAGACACAGCCAGGCAACTAACATTTTCAAAAGAGGCTTGCAATGACAGCACCCATACTTTCCTTATAATAGATTATAATAGATTCAGAACTCCAGCCTTACCTTCAGTCTTGCACAGTTGTGCAGTCTTCTCTTTTGTACTAAAATTGTTTACTCTGATTTTACTGCGCACTGTGACCTTCGCATACTGTTCAAAAGAAGCTGTAGCAAGTCTAGATACAGGTGAAACTCGAATAATTAGAATATCGTGCAAAAGTAATTGCAGTAAGTGCTGCAAAAGGGGCCCAAACCAAGTACCGAGTACATATGCATGCTTGTACTTTTCAGAGGTCCGATATTGTTCTATGTACAATCCTTGTTTTATTGATTGCATGTAATAATCTACTTTTTTGAGGTTGTGGATTTGGGGTTCTTGGGGTTTTCATGAGCTGTAAGCCATAATCATCACAATTATGACAAATCACGGCTTGAATTATCTTGCTTTGCATGTAATGAGTCTATCTCATGTATTAGTTTCACCTTTTAAGTTGCATTAGTGAAATAAATTAACTTTGCACGATATTCTAATTATTCGAGTTTCACCTGTATATCCCACCTCATATCCTGGCTGGAGGCCACCCAGCATCATCTAGCCTTACTTTCCCTGGCCCATCATTTATTGAATTTCAGTTATTTCAATGACGAAGCTCAGCATTACATGTGGGCATTACCTAAGGCAGTCAGCATGGAATCGCAACCTGTCTAGGAAAGCCCACTCCTCCGGAATGACATCCACCCATCAAGGCATTTTGATATTAGCATAATATCAAAAGCCCAAAAGCCAGCCCACTGCTTGTATCAGAACTAAGTGCTCTTGGGAGGAATACTAAGGCAGAGTGCAACAGCAGCAGGTAAGAGGAGGTGAAGGGAAAGGGACCCAGACAAGCACAGCTGAGGCCCTGCAGAGCCCACCATAGAGAGTCTAAGTCATTACTAAGTCCCGTGCCCAATGTGTTACTATGTACCGTGTCCAGTGCAATACTAAGTCCCAGGTCCAGTGCGTTACTAAGCCCCAAGTCAAGTGCAATACTAAGGTCCAGTGCGTTACTAAGTCCCGGGTCCAGGGGTCCAGTGCGTTACTAAGCCCCAAGTCCAGTGCAATATTAACCCCTTCATGACTGAGGCCCTTTTTTCATTTTTTTGCACCCATTCTGTGGTTAGTGTTAGTGACAAGGGTCCTGCGCAACATATTTTTTGACCAAAATATATTTCCTTACTCTTAAAAATTCAATGCACTGATGACTTGGAATACACTTTTCAATTTATAAAAATTAAGTTGTAAGAGTGTTAAAATAACAGTGGGTGCACTGAAGAACCCAGTGGGACAGCCACTGGATGGACTTCGTGGGAGGGTCAGTGGAACAGTCAATGGACGGGCCTATGGTGTGTTGGTGGTGGTGGTGGAGGGGGGGGGGGCAGGCCTAAAGCTGTGTAAGGGGCCCCAAAGATTCTGATGGCAGCCCAGGGGAGAGGTACCAGGGCAGAATAAATATAGGCATGATAGACATCAACTATAAACATAGTGGATTATGCCAGGATATGGGTGTTGTAAAAGAGCTGTACATTTTTTAGTGAAAAATCTGTTTCAATTGCTGAAATCTGTGAACAGGCATAAAAATCGATGGAGTCTATTTTACTTACAAGGAACTTCACATATCCAGATACCCATGGCAGTGGCGTTTTTATAAAAGAGAGCTATTCATAACCAACAGGATATTTATATATACACACATACTGTATGCATCTCCTAGGACATAGTCACCCATGTCAAACTGATGTCAAAATGATGCCATCAACACAAGCCGACTGTAAGACTTTACATAGTAACAACATAACATGAAAACAAAATGCTAATTTTGCACACAAACAATGTAATTACAGACCCTGTGACTTCCTTGTGACCATGGGTGAGGTGGAGCTTGTGACATAATTCACTCCTCTACTCCATCTCGTTCAATCAGAGAAGACCTTGTATTCATTGAAAAAAAATACAATGCGCTCTCTAAATGATGGCAGTGCCAAGCAAGTGACTCCATGTGCTCAGTGTGCAAAGGGGAAGCTGCTAGAGCTGCAGCCAGATGACACCATCTACTGTATCACTGTATGTTCTGCAGACTACTACAGTGATTGTCAGCATCTGGATATTAGATAAACCATTTAAATATCCATAAAAGATCATTTCTGGAGTTCAGCTTTAACCTTTAATACAAACATTGAGGTATACACAGACATTAAGGTAACATAGTAACATAGTAGGTAAGTTTGAATAAAGACACAGGTCCATCTAGTTCAGCCTATGTATGTGTGTGTGGGTGTGTCTGTATATACTAGTTCCAATATCCCGGTTTATTTTATGACTCAAGAAGCACATCTAACAGTTTCTTGAATCTATCAATGCCATCAGCGATCACTATTGACTGTATTAGGGAATTCCTAATTTTTACTACTCGCACAGTAAAAAAAACCCTTAGGAAGTCTGAGATTAAACCTCCTTCTATCCTCTAGCTGTGTCCTTGTGTCATCAATAGAGTTATTACTGTAAACATCTTATTCCTAATATTGTGGTCCCCATTAATGACTTTGAAAATTGCAATAAGTTCCCTCTATTCTAAGGAGAACAAGTTTAATTTCTGGAGGCGATCTTCATAGCTCAGGCCTTCCATTCCCTTTATTCATTGTGTAGACCTTCTCTGACCTCTCTTAAAGTGACATTATACCCTCAGATTTTTTAACATAAAACAATACATTTAATGTGTGCCTTACTGTAATCCATGGTTGTTTCCCTTCTCTTTGCTGCTCTTCCTTTTAAATCTGTATCTCTTCTCATGCTGGGCAGAACTTCTGTTTTGTAGCAGACTGCCTTGTCTCTGAAATGGATACACGGTGTCTGTGTATAGGCTTGCAACCTGAGCCAGCACTACAGGAAGAGGCCCTGAGCTGCAAAGGGAAGTTCTCCCCAAGCATGAGAAGACATGAGGATTTAAAAGGAAGAGCAGCAAAGAGAAGGGAAACTAACATGGATTACAGTAAGGCACACATTACAGTATTGGTTTATGTTAAAAAATCTGAGGGTTTAATGTCACTTTAAGTTCAAGGACATCTTTCATGAAGGTTGACCAAAACTGAACTGTATACTCAAGGTGAGGCCGAACCTCTTGCCAAAATCCCTCTTTTAATGCAGGATAGTATTTTGTTTGCTTTGCTGGCCGCTGCTTGGCATTGCATGTTACTGCTGAGTCTGTTATCTTTGAGCACCCCGAGGTCTTTCTCCATGAAGCACTCTCCAAGTAGTAGTTTGCAAGTAGTAAATTATAATTTGCTCCCATGTGCATAACCTTAAATGTTTAAATATTAAAATCACATTTGCCATTTTGTACCCCAGGCCTCAATTTTATCTATGTCCTGTTGAAGTGAATCTATGTCTTCTTGAGAATTTACTGCCCTACACAGTTTAGTATCATCAGCGAACCATTCATTCGAATCTCTATGTCGTTTATGAATAAGATAAACAGAATCGGTCCCTGGGGCACCCCGTTTACAACTTTTGCCCAATTAGAAAACTAACCATTTATTACAACCTTCTGGATCTGTTCTTGTAGCCAGTTTTCTATTCAACTTCATCCGAACCGATAGACCTTTCTTTGCTGCTCTTCCTTTTAAATCTGTATCTCTTCTCATGCTGGGCAGAACTTCTGTTTTGTAGCAGACTGCCTTGTCTCTGAAATGGATACACGGTGTCTGTGTATAGGCTTGCAACCTGAGCCAGCACTACAGGAAGAGGCCCTGAGCTGCAAAGGGAAGTTCTCCCCAAGCATGAGAAGACATGAGGATTTAAAAGGAAGAGCAGCAAAGAGAAGGGAAACTAACATGGATTACAGTAAGGCACACATTACAGTATTGGTTTATGTTAAAAAATCTGAGGGTTTAATGTCACTTTAAGTTCAAGGACATCTTTCATGAAGGTTGACCAAAACTGAACTGTATACTCAAGGTGAGGCCGAACCTCTTGCCAAAATCCCTCTTTTAATGCAGGATAGTATTTTGTTTGCTTTGCTGGCCGCTGCTTGGCATTGCATGTTACTGCTGAGTCTGTTATCTTTGAGCACCCCGAGGTCTTTCTCCATGAAGCACTCTCCAAGTAGTAGTTTGCAAGTAGTAAATTATAATTTGCTCCCATGTGCATAACCTTAAATGTTTAAATATTAAAATCACATTTGCCATTTTGTACCCCAGGCCTCAATTTTATCTATGTCCTGTTGAAGTGAATCTATGTCTTCTTGAGAATTTACTGCCCTACACAGTTTAGTATCATCAGCGAACCATTCATTCGAATCTCTATGTCGTTTATGAATAAGATAAACAGAATCGGTCCCTGGGGCACCCCGTTTACAACTTTTGCCCAATTAGAAAACTAACCATTTATTACAACCTTCTGGATCTGTTCTTGTAGCCAGTTTTCTATTCAACTTCATCCGAACCGATAGACCTTAGTTTATGAATTTAGATTATGAATCAAAAAATAAACAAACAATAAAAATAACAAAACAAAAAAAAGGGGCAGACTTAATAGACCATGTGATCTTTAGAGATGGAGGAGAGCAGCTGCTGTTGGTCCTTCATTGTCTAAAGAAGCAGAACTACAGCAGCCATTTAGTCACCCATCAGATAGGTGAGTAAAGCATAAATGCAACTACAAGAATAAGTCAGGACATTTATTTGGGTGATATCATTTAGAGCCTTGGTTCTCAACTGGTGGGTCGTGACCCAAAAGTGGGTCGCGACCCCGTGTTCAGTGGGTCGCCGCATGCCTTCCACTTTTCTAGGTGAGAGGCTCCTCAGCCTCCCCTAGTGGAGCAGTGTCCATTCTTACACTGAGCAGCCATTCAAAATATGCTGCCCAACGTCAAGTGTCGAAATTGAGGTTGGGTGGGCTGAGGGTATGGCCACGAGGGAGCTCCATCCATACGTGCATTGCTTATAGCTCCCTCACGTGCCCTGTAGAGTTGCCTCGACTGGAGTGACATCACATTCTGGCTCCCGGCACCTCTACAGGCACACATAGGAGCTGTGCAAGCAATGCACATATGGATGGAGCTCCAACACAGCAGCCGACACTGCCGTGCATTCCATTGCAGTGCGACTTGGGTCACGACTTAACGATCGAGGACAAATGTGGGTCCTGAAGTTACACAGGTTGAGAACCACTGATTTAGAGTATGAGATTTTGATTTTGTTCTGCAGTTCCTCTTCAGTTTTAAAGGAACATGCATCATTTCCACTTTTTTTTCTTTCTAAAGATGCTTTTTATTGAGTTTTTTAAGTGTCAGAGACACAATAATAACAACATCAAAAACCGTCAGACATACATCAACCAGGTCAACATAACCAGGCAATTATACAACATCAACACACTCTTCACTAATCAGAATATTACGAGGTTACACAATAAGGTGGTTACAAGATTCAATACATGGTAGTTACCTTCCAACATAGGGAGTATACAACGTAGGGAATTGAACATAGCCACATGCAGTCAATATGATAAGAAATACTGCCCGGAGTTCAGAGATCTAGAAATGGGGTCATTAGGCTGAAGAATGAGAATGCAGTTAGTACTTCACCCCATCTCTACAGTAGTGTTAGAGGAGGACAGCCATAGATCCATATGGGGCCAAAACGTGTCGGATTGCCCCTCTGCTCATACGTGAGTTTATAAATGGTTAATACCTGATCAACCAGCCTTTCCCACTCGCTCAGTGGGGGAGCAGTCGGGCTGCCCCAGACCAGGAGAATGGTCTTCCTGGCATAGAATAAAAGGAGGCGGAGGAGTGTCTGAGTTCTGGAGGCCAATGGCAGTTCCCCAAAGAGACCCAGGAGGCAGTACGCAGGGTTGCAACTATTGGGGAAACCGAGGCTAGCTTCCATGAAGGAAGTGACCTCTGACCAAAAGGTTCTGACAATAGGGCATAACCAAAAACAGTGTAGGAAGTCGGCCTCTCGTCCGCATCGCTTAAAACAGCGCGGGGTCAAGCGAAGGCCGAGTCTATGTAGAAGGGTGGGAGTGTAGTAGACCTGGTAGAAAAATTTCATTTGGATCAGTTTGTCATTAGAGGCTATCACAGATGGCATGTAGCTACCTTCAAAGTCTTCCCAATCATCTTCCGCTAGATCCAGTAGAATCGACCGCCACCTCTGTTTGCGGCTGTCAAACCTACCGGATCTGTAGAACATAAGTTCCATATAGTAAGTAGAAATCAATTTTGATGTGTCATCCCTTCGCAGTAACCCCTCCAGCAGTGACTGGGTTTGTGTAAACGCGGTCGACCCAAATTGGGTTTGTATCGCGTGTAGGAGTTGAAAGTAGGCCAAAAAAAATCAGACGGGGAGAGCTTCAGCTCCTCCCTACGCTGTGGAAAACTAAGCAGCACCCCATTACGAAACAAGTGAGACAAGGATTTAATGCCTTTTGAGGACCAGAAGGCGGCCGACAGGCGCTGCAGCTCTGGGAGGGCGGGATTACCCCATAAGGGGGAGTGGGGAGAATGGGACCATTGGGATAGTGATAAGCGATTGATGACATATCTTAGGATACGGACAGTCACAGATATCATGATTGCCCCTTGTTGCTTTTGGTTGTGATTGACCCCCAATAGACAACATTTTGAAGAGATTCAAAGGAGGTTAGTATGGCCGCTTCAGTTGCCGTGCAGGCGCTCCCAGTCTGGGGGACCAGCCAGTCATGAACCACCACTAGTTGGGATGCCAGGTAATACATGTGAAAGTTAGGAAAGGCCAGGCCCACCATCGAGCGAGGGAGCCGCAGCACCTCCAAGGCCACCTTAGGGGTACGGCCCCTCCACAGAAAAATAGTGCAAATAGAGTCAATTTTACGGAAGTAACTATTTGGGACATAGCAAGGGGCATTCGCTAGGATATACAATAACTTGGGGAGAAAGATAATCTTAATAATATTGACTCTTCCCATAAGGTCCAGTGGCAAGTCCATCCACTGTTTAGTCTTCAAATGAAGAGAGTCAATAGTTGGTGACAAGTTATTAGCAATATAGGAGGAGAGGGGCAGTTGAACCCTAACACCCAGATACTTAAATTCATTTGCAACCCTTAGCGTAGACATAGGGTGAATATTTGCCACTGTAGCGTCATCTAGGGGAAAAAGGACAGACTTGTCCTAGTTAACCTTGAACCCCGAGAAGGTTCCAAACAGGTCCAGTAGCTGGAGGAGGTGACATAGTGAGCCATTCGGATCAGACAGATAAATCAGCGTATAAAGAGATACGCTCCTCCAAGTCACGTATCCTCCAGCCATGTATAGAGACCGACTCCCGAATCCTAATCGCCAGGGGCTCAATTGCCAGGGCAAATAGGATAGGGGAGAGGGGACAACCCTGTCTCGTACCCCGAAAGATACTAAACGGGTCAGACACCTCTCTGTTGATACGCAATCTGGCCACTGGGGTATTATACAGAATTTCTATCCAGCGGATCATTTGGGAGACAAACCCATATGCTGCTAGTACTTTTAGTAAATACGGCCATTCAACACTGTCAAAGGCTTTTTGGGTGTCCAGTGAAATCATTGCTCTACCTTCATAGTTACATAGTTACATAGTATTTGGGGTTGAATAAAGACATACAGTATGTCCATCAAGTCCAACCCATATAGGTGCATGCATCATCTCATTCTTAGGGATATTGGTATCCCTGGAAAATGATCATACCTGACAATAAATTCCATTATAAATTGCTTCAGTAATGTAGGGTACACACAGTGAATTTCGGCTGGTTCTTGAAGTACCGGACAAAATTCGCACAGTGGGTACCGCTGTTGGCACCCTTCCAACCCAGCATCCCTCGATCAGCTGATCAAAGGAGCCAGTTGCAAAATTCTTAACCAGTTGGAAAATTCTTCAGTCGTGGGATGAGAGTATTGGTGGAAAGTCTGCGTTCATCCTAGTGGAGCGGCCTGGCATAAATCCTGCCTGGTCACTACCAATAAGGGACAGAGCGTGTTTATTTATGCGTATAGCTAGAATTTTGGCTAGGATTTTTGCATCAACATTAATTAAAGAAATGGGCCGGTAGGAATCACATTTAGTTGGGTCCTTACCCAGTTTTAAAATCAGGACTATAAGAGCTTCTCTCATGGACGGGGGAAGTATACTCAGATCAAATGCCTCATTATAAGTGGCCAATAAATGTGGTCCCAGTTCTTCCACATAGAAGGCGTACCATTGCATGGGGAACCTGTCAAGGCCTGGGGTCTTTCTAGTGGGAAACTGGACAACCGCCAACTAAATCTCATCCGCAGTGAGCGGCCGGTCCAATTCCTCTCTAGCCTGAGGGGATAGGCAGGGGAGGGAGATCTGGGACAGATAGTCCCCCAACTACGCATCAGTGTAGTGGGCTCTGGAGGAGTATAAATCCCTATAGAAGGACAGGAACACTTCCATAATGTCCCGGGTATCAGTGACCACGGACCCTGGGGAAGAGATAATGCGTGGAATAGAAGTAGGGTTAAAGTCAGGTTTAGTAAAGTATGCCAATAATCTACCCGTCTTGTTCCCAAACTCAAATATTTTTTGCTGAGTATGTAGCATTTTCTTTTTGGTTTGTTCCAATTGGAACAAGTCATATTTACGCTTCTTCCCCATCCAATCACTGTAATTTGAGGGAGTGGGATCTAGAACATAGGTGGCCTCAGCTTCTCCATGTCACCCTCCAATGCCAGTGCAACCTCCCCCCTAAGTTTACGGACTGCCCCAGTAGCGGCCATGAATGCTCCTCTGAGTGTGGGTTTAAAGGCTTCCCATTTAAGGGAAGAGGAAGTCACAGGGGCATTGTCACTCCAGTAGTGGCCAATAGCCTGGGAACAAGCAGTCTCCACAGGGGGATCAGAGAGCCAACGGGAGTTCATTCTCCACACTCTGGAAGAGTGCTCACTGCTCACTCACGCAGCTGGGCGGATCCAGACATAATTGCCGGGATCCGCTTCAGCTGCGGCGTCTCAGTATACCGCTCGCAGTAGCTTGCAGTGTACTGTGGCATCTCAGTATACCGCGAGCTGTATCTCGCGGTATACTGAGCCTAGGGTGACGGGAGGATGCTAGTTTGTGTCCTCCCATTACCCTAAGGAGAACTATGGGGAAAAGCCTTAACCCCATAGTTTTCCTTTAACCACTTGCCGTCCGCCCGTAGTAAAAAAACGGACGGACGGCACTGCAGCATTTGCGGCAATTTTTTTCTGCGGGCACGCACGGGCAGAAAAGACCCGACCATTGCACACACCCGTTACCGGGTGTTTCACATATAGGCGATTAGCGGCTCCATAGCCCGCCGATCGTCTATATGTGCTCGTTCGCGTCCGCCTCCGTCCGCTCCTTGCTGATCTCCGTCCGGGCTGTGAATGCAGAAGTGATGTGTATTACATCACTTCCGCATTCACCTGTCAGTCATCTGGCTGCTATAGCCAGAGAGAAGAAGCTGATGAAGCAGATCTCTGCTTCATCAGCTTCTTTTGGGGTCCACAGGTGAC